GAGTGGAATACGGTTTCCAAGCACTGCAACGCTGCATAAGTCACAGCCAGTCTTCGAATCACAAAATGAAAAAACTCAAACACACATACGCACACACACATGAATTATTTTGTAATTATAAAACTAAAAAGGACTCTGTTTTAAAATGCATGACATTCTAAGGTTTACATTATGAGACCTCCTTTGCCAGTAACAAGATATAGGAATAGGTTTTACCCTTTTAACTGGCACAAAAACTGACACCTTTATTCAAGGCATCATGTTTGCAATAACCACAACACAAGCAGTCAAAATGCAAACAAAAAAGACAACTCTGATAATATGCACTGTCCTTGAATTTGATAGGTCCACACCTGAGACGGCTTTTCTTAGAGCCTAGTCTCCATTGGTGTTGGACCAAAATACGCCAAATGGCATACAACTCAAAAACAGCGCACTATCAGAGTATTGAGGGCTCGGGGTGAGCATTTACATTATGAGACCTCCTTTGCCAGTAACAAGATATAGGAATAGGTTTTGGCGTCTTCTGGTCCAACACCAATGGAGACTAGGCTCTAAGAAAAGCCGTCTCGGGTGTGGACCAATCAAATTCAAGGACAGTGCATATTATTATCAGAGTTGTCTTTTTTGTTTGCATTTTGACTGCTTGTGTTGTGGTTATTGCAAACATGATGCCTTGAATAAAGGTGTCAGTTTTTGTGCCAGTTAAAAGGGTAAAACCTATTCCTATATCTTGTTACTGGCAAAGGAGGTCTCATAATGTAAATGCTCACCCTGAGCCCTCAATACTCTGATAGTGCGCTGTTTTTGAGTTGTATACCTTTTGGCATCTTCTGGTCCAACACCAATGGAGACTAGGCTCTAAGAAAAGCCGTCTCGGGTGTGGACCAATCAAATTCAAGGACAGTGCATATTATTATCAGAGTTGTCTGTTTTGTTTGCATTTTGACTGCCTGTGTTGTGGTTATTGCAAACAGGATGCCTTGAATAAAGGTGTCAGTTTTTGTGCCAGTTGACAGGGTAAAACCTATTCCTATATTCTAAGGTTTTTTCGTGTTTTTGGGTGGGGTGGGGAGTGATTATTAATATTTGTAGACTTTAGAGTAACTGAGTCAGCACTGCTGGTTCATATCCAGGTTCCTGAGACCAAAAAAAGTAACCAATACAAAAATCTACGAACGTGTTGTACATTGCCATTAATATTGTAATTATTTTCAGGATTCGCTCTATTCATCTCTTGATGTTGTTGCTGTCTGTTGCACCATCCCACGTGCCCGCAGAATTGGATGAAGAGCTCAAGAGCGCAGTATTACGTCGGCGCAAATACATCGGGGAAGATATGATTTACATAGAGTCCAAGTAAACAGCCACCACAAGAACAGACGTGGCTTTGTATCACGCGAACGGATGGAGCCAGGCTCGGGGTCCATATAACAACAATAGCACTTGTAATATACGGCTTTTGGATGTTTTGGGGTTGATGTCCGACGTTTCGTTCTACGTGGAACGGTAAACGTCGGGCATAATGCCGAACGACACGTGGTACAACCCGAAAACACAGCGGGGAGCTGTGCAGCACAATCACGAAAACCTACAAAGTTGCACTTGTAATGTATGTGACGTCACCGCCACTGAGTGGCGAATGGCGGTTGTTGTTGTTGTGTATATATGTAGAGTTGTGAATATAATGATATTTACAGTTCTCTCTTTTTATTTGCAATTACTCATCATTGTTGCGTCCAAGTACGGATGAACACATATGTAAGAATAAATCATAGAATGAGCCTTTCTGAAGACGCAGTGCTCAATGTGATTTTTGGAGAAATCTTGCCGACGTCTCCATTACTAACGGTAAAACAAAAATAGGCAGAATTAAGTGTTGATGTAGCGCCGTCAAGTTTAGAATGTGGCCCTTAATCTACTCAATGGTCTGAGCCAAAGTACTTTCAAGTCGTAAAACCATCCTTAAATCGGCATCCGTGCTTGATTTTTGCAGTTGTAGGAAATAGACAAAGGCAGCAGAGTAGAAAAAATATTGACGGTAACAAATGGCAATTACATCAGACCAAATGCAGTTTTTTTCTAAATTCAACTCTTTAATGATGTGTCTTGTGAAGCAGAAGTTAAATTGGTAACACCAGTGTTTTTATCAATCATCATCATCACCACCATCGCTGATTGGATATCCACTGCTGGATAAAAGCTTCTCCATGCCATCACCATACTTCACGGTTTTGAGATGTCACAATTTCACTCCTGCACGTGACTCGATCTTTTTTTTCCATCTCCGCACTGTTGTCAAGTTTCTGAGGATTTTGCCTCCTTCGGCTGCCATTCTTTCACCGCTTTTTGGGTCGTTTGGTCTTGGAATTGATGATAACTAATATGAACAGCAATGTCCTGTATTTCATGTTATGTAAGCACTGCACAATGCAAGTGTATGCAGAATGTCTGACTGCATATAATTAATATAATTTACATTGTAAGAAGAAATATCAGTAGGTAACGGAATACATGACATTTTTATATGATACAACTGTATACTATGTTTAAATATACCAAGCTCATATATGCTTTCCTCATTTTGCAGCTCATATTTGTAATTTAATGTTTGGGCTCATTCCTATGAAGGTTGTTATAAAGCAGGGTATCTTTCCAAGATTTCCTCACACGAACTGTGTGCAGTGGTTGCTTTATATGCTCAGCGTATTGTCTTCAATGCCTAATGACCACACATACATCTCGAAGCTATGGTTTTAATAATGTTTATTATTTAATATTTTTAATATTTGACCATTAAAGATTTTTTTGTTTACATCTTACGGGGAGTTATTGTTTCTCCTCGTAATCACAGTTCTGCATTCAGTGTAGGCATGTAATAATTCAATACCCACCCTTCCAACCCGTGAGACTTAATTAATTCAATCTTGATTCGAAGCTTTCGTGACTGCAGTTATCCATACTCTCTGGTTCTTTCGGTAAAGTCACGTAGACAGAAACAATAATAAAAGAACACGACGTTTCAGTCGCAACACCTGATGACGGACGCTTGTGTTGCGACCGAAACGTCGTTTTTCTTGTATTATTTCTTCTACCTACGTGACTTTACCGAAATAACCTGAGAATATTTCATGAATTTAACGCTTTTTTCACGATCCATTCAAAGTAGCAAGTCCGGTCTCGTTTTTGTGGTCTCAGTTGGACTGGGAACGAAAACCAAATCGAATTTAATTGGTAACAAGTGGCACATCATTTATGATGGGGGGGGGGGGGCGCTGCACATATTCCGATGTGGTGTTACAAAATATGTGCACTGATGAAGAGAAAGGAACAAAAGTTTAAATGCAAAGACGGAAGCATAGACAGGCGAATGTTTTTGAATTGCACCTTCTAGCCATGTGTCCTGCCTAAGCCCACTTCATTTTTAAAAAGTCAATATGGTGTCTCTAGCTTGCGTATGTTATCTGATCCGTGTGTTGTTTTGTGTTTTAGAACTGCTATTTGTGTTTAGATTGTTGTCCACCTCCCCCCAACGCACCTCCGATTACCAGTCGGCTTTGTACAGTGCGAAAGAATGTCAACATACATACATGCACCCCATCTACATAACCACTCCGACTTGTATTCTTGGTTCTTTCGGTAAAGTCACGTAGAAGGGAAATAATAAAATCATTAAAATAAAACAATAAAATTCTCACGACGTTTCGATTGCAACACAAGCAATCATCATCACTCCGACTTGATTTAAATTGCTGGTCACAGCCACCAATATCGGTAGCGCGTAACTTTTAAAACCGCTCCCGAGTGCCTCGTCCACTTAGCGGCACTGGCCGGCACCGTGAAGTAGGTCTCGAACACAACCCCCCCATTACCATCGCACCATGTGGGAGCATTCATCCAGCAGTGGATTGTCCAAGATGTAAATTATTACAGTATTCATGTTATTGTTGATGCCGTTGTTTGCACACACATTGGAAACATGGATAACAATCCATCACTGAAATATCAACACAGGACAAAAATAACACAGACTCTGGTCAAATCCACTGCTGGTTGAAGGCCTCTTCACGCTGCTGCCACCTCTCAAGATCCTGCGATATAATAAATCCACCTATCAGAATCAGAATTTTTTATGTATCCTGGAGAAATCCGATGAGCTATGAAGCTCTTTTTCTACAGATGTCCACCTAGCACCTGCACACAAACTGATTTGATCGCCGCTCCATCTCCTCGGTGGATGAACCTCTCACAGATGCGTTCCGTTCCTTGGAATCACTAATTTTTTTACTGGTAGGAAACGTAGTGGACTGGAAGCCCAACCGGGATTAATTCTCACAGGAGGCAGGGGATTAATTGTGTATGTCTGTGGATGTCTGTCCACGTGTATCCGGACATTCGGATATAAAAAATGGGAGGGGTGGGCTGGGTGGAGAGGGGAGGGTAGGGAGGGGCTGGGTGGGGAGGGGAGGGTGGGGAGGGGCTGGGTGGGGAGGGGCTGGTCACCCCGTGGTGCCCTTATAAAACTCAACGTTTAACCTACTCACGCCGGCTTGTGCCCACGGAATACACCACGCCGCCGTTGACCCTGGCCACTGACCGAGCAACCAACGTTCCTACCAGCCCCCTCCGCAGGAATGTGTTTACTATTGCTCACCATTTCTTCTCGTAACGCATCCTGCTCTTTTGCTCACATTTTGTCCAAATTTCGTTGACCAAGAGCACTGGCTGGCAAAACCACCCATGCCAAAAATTCACGAATAAAGTTTCCATCACTCAAGTTTAACGAGAATGTTACCGGTGCATTTGATCGGGACAGAAAACCCCAGAGCAATGCATGCAGTTGCATAGGAACTTCCGCATTACTTAGAAGAAAAATGCAGCGTGGATTTGTTTTGCATACGATCTTACTGGCTGTGCGCCTTCAGTCAAACCAGTCGAGTGGATTAATGGGCCACTCTCCCAGGGAAAATGAAGTAAAATTGAACGTGCAAATTGCACGCGTTTACCTGCTCCGTTTGGCCAAATGTGGGCCGAGAGAAGATTGGCTTTGGTCAATGTCCTTCTTTCCAAAAGATTACCTTATTTCTGCAGGAAGTTGACTGACTTATTTCCTTCTGCAGAATGTTGAGGATTTATGGCTAGATAAACACTCAATGTATTTGAATTCTCTGGTACAGTACTGTATTTGCTTTGCTCAGGGCACTTCGTTTATCAGGCTCTACTCGTGGCATGATAATAATGTACCTGCTATGCAGGTGGGAAATATGTCAAAATTGCACGTCCTTGATTTGTATTGTAAGTTCTTAAGTTAAACCTTGAAATTCTGGTTTTGCAAGATGCGACTGGGGTTTTCCGCCTCTGTTTCCTGGTGTGGTATCGTTATAAGGCTCTGTCATGTTTTGTCTACGAGTCAAAGCCGAAGGGACTCAGCAAAGGTCTGAAGGGTTGAAACAACGGAATGGCAGAGTGTTCAGCTGCGGGAAAACTATCCCTCTCCCTGCGAGTACACAACGATGGCTATCTCCATGTAAAGAATCGGAAGGACAAGGTATATGCACTGCAGTTTTTTTTAATTGACGCGTTAAAGTGTTTATTTTTGCGTTTTCCTACAAGCCGCTGTGTGCCAAAGAATTATACACTTAAGGCCCGTTACCCGGGCGCTTCCTCTTCTCTCAGGTCTTTAAACTTTTGTTTTATGTTTGCGCCGATAAGATAATAAAGTATTGTGTGGTAGTCTAGCTTCATGATTATTTAAATCCATGTTCATTTATCTACTAAACATTGGGGCAAATTTTTAATCTTAAGTTCGGTGAACTTCGAGAGCTTGAGCAGTACGCATAATGGGCCAAAGCAAATCATATTTGTTACTCATTCTTTTGAGCGTTTAACGTTTGTTTAAAATGTGTTTCAAATTTGCTGTGTACCCCCCCCCCCCCCTTCCGCGCGTTTTATACACTCCTAACACACCATTTAAACAAGGTCACGCTACAGGGGCTGGTTCTGCACTCATTAACGTTTCGCACATTTTCATTGGCAGGAATATAAGAAACAATGGACGGTTCTAAATGGGGACGTTCTAAATTTCTACTCAGACAAACACGACAAGGTAGGTTATTAAATACCATTGCAGCCACTTTTATGTGTACCCTGTGATTGTTGTGAAAGCACAATAAAGTCAGCTAAAACAATGCGTCGTTTACATTTGTGCCTTAATTTTAAATATAAAGAGTATAGGTGCAGCCCGAGAGAGCCCCTCTAGAGGGTATTTGGCCTACTCTTCCACAGGACCCAAACACCTTATACGTAGGTAGGAGTAACACACACTTTACACCACCACCTGTTGATCGACTAACTGTGACGTGCTCATTTGTACTGCTGGGTGGACAGAGGTGGGTGAGATTCGTAACAAAAAAAACTTGCAACGTTGTTTCAGCTGCCACGCTGGAAGATCAAATCTAACCGGTAACCTCTGAATTACAAGTCCAGTGTGCTCACCATTACAACGAAGCAGCATCCCTTTGAAAAGCACATTAAAAGCGCATTATTTTAAGAGGCAATAAATGTAAACACAAAAGTTAGGCGTTGTTATTTTCTCATTGATATAAGACATTTAATTAACTCTGCAAAAAAACCTCATCCTAAATTGGAATTTTTGTTGCCAACAACCAACTAGAAACTTAAAAATAAACTCCAAGTTAACATCACATTTGTTTGTTTCCGAAAAATATATATTTAAGAAAATGAGAGACATTAAAGACTTGCGGGAGCGGTGACGTAGTGGTCCTTGTAAATGAACCTGGCGAACAGAGTTTGATTCCAAGTCAGCGGCTATTTTCAGTGGCGAGTTCTCCCTGAACCAGCCCTGGCTCTCATTCGTCAACTAGCATTGACCAGCACGATGAAATCTGATTAAACCACTCTCACGATAGAAACGTCACGGGGAGGACATCATACAACAGTGACTTGTTAAATGGCGAGATGTAATTATAATTCTCAATAATTAATAATTGTTAGCCTTCGGATTTCCTCGTGAAACCTCAAGATGCTTAACATACTTCTACTCATATTGCAAGACATGCGAGCATATATAGCGTAGGGCTTGTCCAGATGGCCTGTGACCCGCAATTCATTGACCCCTAACATTTTTACTTTGCATATTCATTTCTGTTTTAAATACAACTTACTTGAAGATATATTTCGTTTTGGATAATTAAATGCGGGTCACAAGACATACGGACCACGCTGTACGTCATTTCAAGAGTCTCATCTAAGCAGTGTTGCATCAGGTACCCAGCATGCACATACAGGATACTGGCTGTCTATGTCATTACCAACACCCACGAGTTTCAGTATTACCCAATGTCCATTGCTAGATACAATGTCCATTGCTAGATACAATGTCCATTGCTAAATACGTCTGGCTTATGAAAAGAGAATGCAAGTTTAGGTCCCCCGTGCGTTTTAGATTCGTAATAGGAGGTCGTGGGTTCAATCCCGACCCGTGTTCTCCCCGTGGTCGCATCGATTTTCCTTCGGGTCATCCGTTTTTTTTCCCGACACATTTTGAAGCATACGTTTTGAGTATTTGACTACTAAAACATTCCAGATGATAAGGCACTTCATTGGGCTTTTATTAATGGCCAGGTCGCTTATAAAAAAAAAGAGCTATGTAGTCTGTTTTACCTGGTAAAACACACTGGGAGATTTTAAATTTTGATTTAAAGCTTTCGTGACTGCAGTAATTCATATTCTTAGCTCTTTCGGTAAAGTCACGTTGAAGGGAAACAATAAAATAATAAAATATATATAAAACACTGGGAGATCCTTCGGGAACTTAATATAACCCAGAATTTCAGGTCTTAAAGAAACTCAGAGCACGTGGAGTGATATGTTGGACACCAGGTCAAACAACACGCAGCACAACCTGCAAACACATATCCGAGAGCTGTAGAGCACAAAAAGTGAAACCTATGGATTTCAAATGGGAGAAAAGGCAGCCACAAAGGCTACCTTTGGACATTTCTCGAATTATGGTTTGTGACATTACGCTTAAAATTTGAAATACCCTGCTCGTGTTATTTTTATGACTATTGTCACTCACTGGACTTCCTTTAAGAACTATCTCTTAAGACATAACATAAAACCAACTTCATTTGAGTAAGTTGAGTAAATGTATTGCTTTCCAAAATTAAAATGTGTTCTTTAGCGGCCACTACTGCTGTCAATGGTGTTTTTTTTACAATAGTGCGCTGGTTCTACCTTTTGGTGATCAGTTCAACTCAAAATTTATTCACTGCGACCAAAAATTCATTTAATCGACAAAATATAACGGACGTATATATAAAATCTGTGCCCTGTTCCCACGCAGGATAATTGTTTAGAAGGACGTATACATGTCCACATGTCCAAACAACATTTGTCGAATCAACGACACTCATTCGGAATAAAATTCTAAAGTGCATCGGAAATATAATTAATATTAATACTGAAAACGTGTTTGACTTATATACCTCATAACATGCTCGTTGAAAAGCTTTTATTTTATAACTAGTTCATAAACGCCTTGTCTTTGCCAGATATTTTTTTTTCAATAAATATATTGAGCCTGATCAGATTTTTGTTGACAATGTTTATCTATGATCAGACACGAACAAAACTACTCCAACACGTGTATTTTCCCGCAAAAACAACACAAAAATGTGTTGACGACTTGATTATACTTGTATTTAAGGATTCCGTACTTTTTTATTAGAAAGAACCAAAATTAATTAACGTAATACTCTACAAGAGGACGCGCCTATCTTTTACCGTTTTAAAATTATTCAGATTTGAACATTATAAAATGCGTATTTTTTCGTTAAAAACTACTTAAATCTGAAATATCTCAAAACAATAAAAAATCGAACAATGGTTCTCGCTTTAACTTTATTTGCTTTTTAACGCTCTATCAAACGAAAAAAAACGCACTTATATTTTGAAAGTTTTCTGAATGACACGCACACACATGTTCATGGGGCACTGAAAAATCGAGATGCAGAGGATCTTAAAATGAAAAATCTGGGATGTTCAGATGTTTCTTGTTAATTTTCGATTTAAAGCTTTCATGACTACAGGGATTCATATTCTTGGTTCTTTCGGTAAAGTCACGTAGAAGGGAAATACTAAAATAACACAAATATAACAATAAAATTATCACGACGTTTCGATTGCAACACAAGCAATCATTATCAGGTGCGAAAACCACAGCAAGAAATTTTGAAAAAAGTGCTGTGGTTTTTCACACCTGATGATGATTGCTTGTGTTGCAATCGAAACGTCGTGATAATTTTATTGTTTTATTTGTATTATTTCCCTTCTACGTGACTTTACCGAAAGAACCAAGAATATGTTTCTTGTTGTTTGTGTCCTAAAAGCTACCGATGTACCAAATATCAGCTTTGTACCTTGTCGGGAGGTACCCTGGAGTTTTTTGAGACATACCGACTAAGGTCTATATTTTGATAGATTGTCAAGGATGTATTATGATTATTCACATTATTGCATTGTAGTGTTGACAACACGCTTGCAAGTGCAGTAGAAAAATCACGCATTCGATGTATCTTGGACGTTCCTTCCCATCTTGTAACGTAATCCCTACGAAGTGCAGAATTTAAAATGTATTTCTATTCAAAGCTTCAGATGTTTAATCTCATATTCTTAGTTTTTTCGGTAAAGTCACGTTGAAGAGAAACAACAAAATAATATAATATATATAAAACAATAAAAATTCTCACGACGTTTCGACCATAACTCAAACGGTCATCTTCAGGTGTGTTGGTTTGCATAAATTAATTTTTAAACGGCGCATTTATTTATTTATAAAAAAAACGTTAGCGTCACGCGCAGCGATTTGGCAGTTTGCCCAGGACTAGTCCATCTATATTTTGAAAAGAGGAGGGGGGAGACGAAATTTTTTATAATGTATGCTGTCTGAAAGCCACTGTAAGCGTGAACAATCAATTAAGAACTGAAATGGTTTATCAAATCTTTCCAATGATTGCTAAGATAGAATCCATCTTCTCGGTTGAAATTGGACTAGTCCTGGGCAAACTGCCAAATCGCTGCGTGTGACGCTAACGTTTTTTTTTATAAATAAATAAATGCGCCGTTTAAAAATACATTTATGCAAACCAACACACCTGAAGATGACCGTTTGAGTTATGGTCGAAACGTCGTGAGAATTTTTATTGTTTTATATATATTATATTATTTTGTTGTTTCTCTTCAACGTGACTTTACCGAAAAAACTAAGAATATGAATTACTGCAGTCACGAAAGCTTTAAATCAAAATGTTTAATCTCCTTTTCCCAATGTATTCTAACTGTTCTATCGGCAATATGTCATGAGACAAATTGTTCGTTCGGTTCATACAAAAGATAGTGTGTTTGAGAACAACCCACGGAAACAGAAATCATCAAAGGATTCCCGCTGTCAACCTATTGTGCTTTACAACAACCATCACGATTAAGATCCTATCTGGATTCCTGTGTTGATATTGCATATGACGCAACCTTGTGTCACTCTAAAGACAGAACTTTAAACCTACAAACAACCCCATTAAACACACAAACGAGTTTTTATTTTTAAAGAATACTTACCACTGACATTCACAGATAAACAGGAATGTACGCACAAAACACCTGTAAATGTTTACATGTTGACGCGTTGTGAAATGTTCCATGGCATGAACATTCTGGGTACCAGAGTCCGCAAAAGGACACTTCACCATGTATCCGGTATCACGGGGGGTGGTGTAAATCCAGGCTTAATGTTGTCGCCTATGGGCCCGTCCATAAATGACGTCACGCACCTAGGGGGGGGTGGGGTCAGACATTTGTGACGATGTGTGACTAGGGGGGTTGAGAAATGTGACGTCACATCAAAATGCGCAACTTTAAGTAAATATAGACAACACGTTCTACTGAATGAAATACACTTTTAATAAATGTTTTCTCCTACAACATCACAGTGCAGCGCCACATTAAATACGCACTACAATGACAATAGTTTAAAGCGATTTGAAGCATGTTTAATTTTTTTTGGGGGGGGGGGAGCAGAGCTTTGTGACGTCATATTTGAGGGGAGGTCTGACTTTTTGTGACGTCGTGTGACGAAGGGGGGGGGGGGAGGTAAAAAATCGTCCAAAATCGCGTGATGTCATTTATATACTGCACTTCAAATCTGGTTACCCGAGTTCGATTCCAGATCACGGCTAACATCCGTGGTGAGCGATTTTTGTTCTGGGCCTCTTCCCCAAGCAGTGCGGCCAAAGTAGAGTCAAATATCCCCCTGTGACCGACAGCAACTGGGGCTCTTCATCCGGCATTGAAGAGACAAAGGACCGTGAATTACGTTTACAATTACAACTTACGTAACTGCTAAGTTTGCTCAGCACACTGTAATGGACAAACCGATACGTACAATAATATGCGAGCCACGTTCGTCGTACATTTAAGGAATGTGGGACACGATTTGTGTCGCTACTTTGTCATCCGTGCCAGCACATTTTGGCAGAATGATGGCTGAAGCCACGATTGCCACTTGGGGCGGAGGAGCGCCGCACCAACCAAGCAGCCGGAGATACGAAATTATTAAATTTAATATTTAAAAAATACTTTTCTATAAATTGTTTTGATGCGTTAAAAAACATGTATCCTTTCGACGTGAATTGCCTAACGAAGATGACCTTTTAAGTTGTTCATATTAGAAACCAGGGCGGCGGCGGCGGCGAAGGCGTCCGAGTGATAAGCTCTCCCTTCAATCTTGATTTGAAGATTTCGTGACTGCAGGAATCCGTACTCTTTGGTTCTTTCGGTAAAGTCACGTAGGTAGAAAAAGAATAGACCACGACGTTTCGATCGCAACACAAGCAATCGTCATCAGGTGGGACAACCACAGCAACAACAACAAAAAACTGCTGAAGTAGTTGTCCCACCTGATGACGATTGCTTGTGTTGCGATCGAAACGTCGTGGTCTATTATTTTTCTACCTACGTGACTTTACCGAAAGAACCAAAGAGTATATATATAAATATCTCCCTTCATTCGTCGCGATGAGCTTCGCATTTTATCCGCGCCGTTTGAGACCCATTCAGAGCGGTGAAAAAAGGCGTCCGTTGCTGTAATTGCTATGTCACAACGCGAGCTTGCGCTGTGTAAATATAGCAGCTCACTGCCTACACGTTCTAGGAGCAAACAACAGCAACAGCGATTGCAGTCGGTGCAGCAAACGAAGAATTAGCAACGAACACCGTGGAGTTACTCCGAAATATTCCATTTCACGGGGACAGCATTTGAGTGCATTGTTGTCTCGTAATGCTTATAAATGCCTCGCCGTTGGTAGATAAGACAGGAATATCACTTGCACGGGAAGGCCAATAACATGACGAGCCTTTTCTTAATTACAACACCATATTTTCAGAGGTCACTCACAACAGCCCCGCCTCGTGGAAATGTCACGAGCCGCCACTGTCCCATTCTGATTCTGTATTATTATTATTATTATTTTCAAAGCAAAAATGTGGTTGACATCGGTCAGTGGCCAAACCGTTCTTGCCCTCAACCTTGCCAACTTCGCCAGCCTACACACCGACAAGCATGGTGAAGTGTCATTAAACACCTCCCATGACCTATATGGCGCTGGGAGGCATTGATCCACTGGGCTGTAAATAATTATTACCATCATTGCCACGTGGGATACTGTCGTGGTGTCATGGTTAGAACTTCCAGGGCAATGTCGAACTCCCGGCATGGCACTTGAAACAAGTGGCAAAGTATTTTTTTTTATTTCTCCCATCTCTGTCCACCCAGCCGTATGAATTAGTACACCAGTTAGCTGCTCGCCAGGTGTGGTGGGGTCAAGTGTGCGTGACCCCACGAGATACGTGGCCAGCGTGGGACAGGTGGCCACATACCTGCTGGAGGGGGCTCTCTATAGCTCCTTATAGGGAAGGGTCCTCTGCCAACAGGGGCATGAGCAAAAATCACAGGGCTGCACATTTAAATGGTATTTTTTATCATGTGGACATATGCATGTTTTCTTCTGAGGATGCATACATAATGCAGACTTGGCGCATGAAAGTCTGTATATGTGCGTCCGTTCATTGTGATACACAGGCACCAGGGCATGTGGGCAGGAGAAACGGTGAATATCATCTACACAAGGTAAATAACCTCTTAGCTCTTACAAAATTGAGGGCTACAATTAATGGCAGAATGATTGCAAAATTATGATCGGTGTTTTTGTTTTATATTACAACGGCAGATTAAATTAAGAGTTGCTCAACGGGCATTTGGTGTTTGGTACTGAAATTGTGAAAAAGCTAACCCTGAAATGTCATCAATCAACCTACCATTCATCAATTTAAGAATATATAATAGCCAATTTCAGAGAGTGTATAAAATCCTCATATTCAAGTGCAGAAAAAAACTAGGTTTTTCAGTTTGGCTTTTCAACTATGCTTCTTGTGTTGGTTGTGTATATCTTCTGTACTATGTTATTTTTCATCACTGTGTTTGGTCTGCAATCACTCAATTGCTAAGTAGTTCTCTCAAATTCTTATAGCACACTTACTACTGTACTGCAAGGGAGGTGTGGTATAAGTACTGTAATAAATGATGATAATGTAAATGTACCCACTTAAAAGGTAAACAAATTATATGATGATACTGCTGCATTGCTCAAATAACAACACAAATGCAACACATTCGTCAATATAACAGTGACCTTAAAAGGAAAAGTACGTAAGAGGTGGTGCTGCGGGCATTGCCATGATGAAGGGCCATTGCCTCAAACGTCACCTATTACATATTTTTTTCCTTTTAAGGCCACAGTCTTATTGACGCCTGTGTTGATTTGTTTTTAGTATTCAATTCGTGAGTGTGCATTCTTACCATAACCCCCTTGACACTGAACCGTTGATAGGGAAGCACACATTTTGCTGTATTTATTTATATACATAAAAAAACTACACTGGCTTCTTCCAACAAAGATATAGCCTGTCCATTTGATGCCACATGGAATATTACTGTCATTGAACAAAACCAGTAAAATTTATTGTGTTAATTTCACTCATTAAGCCAAGTTTTTGTCGGTGGATAAAACTATTTAGACCGATACCCATGTTTTAATATGATATATTTAATAAAGTACAATCGCACAGCTATTGAAAATATCCCATGCCTCCAGTTTCCTGGTTGGCTGCTGGCTGGTCTCCTCTCCGTCCGACAATAACAACGTTGTTGTTCTTAGTGGCTGCTGCGGGCTTTTGCTACCAAATATTATTAGCTGGGTAATTGGCTAAATATCATATTCTTTGTCTAAATATCATGGGACATTTTGGCAGTATCAAAGTATGAAAAATAAGAATCGGGTTTACCATTTCTGGCAATAAAAGAGGTACTCTTTGGTTCTTTCGGTAAAGTCACGTAAGTATAAAAATAATAGATGACGACGTTTCGATCGCAACACAAGCCATCGTCATCAGGTGGGACAACCACAGCAATAACAAACTGCTGAAGTAGGCGAGGGATCTGCCGTGGCACGAGGTTATATAGTAGGCCTCGGCAGTAGGGGGGGGGAGAGAGGGGGAGGGCAGAAAGTGGACCCCGCAGCAGCCACATTCCTTCCCCCCCCCCTTCTCTCTGCCCCCCTACTGCCGAGGCCTACTATATGACCTCGTGCCACGGCAGATCTCTCGCCTACTTCAGCAGTTTGTTATTGATGTGGTTGTCCCACCTGATGACGATTGCTTGTGTTGCGATCAAAACGTCGTGATTTATTTTATTTCATACCTACGTTACTTTACCGAAAGAACCAAAGAGTATGGATTCCCGCAGTCACGAAAGCTTCAAATTAAGAATAAAAGAGGTGTTAAGATATTCAAACACCAAATCGATACCCTTTGCAAAGAATAAAGTCTGCATTTCCCACTCGTACTTGTGGTGAACATGCAAAAAACATACTCTGATAATTATATATGCATTGTCTTTGAAACTGATTCGACTACACCAGAGACGGCCTTCTTTATTGCCTAGTTTCACCAGTGTCAGACCAGAAAACGCCAAAAGACGAACAGTACGAAGACAATGTCACACGTATCAGATCATTTATAGCTTGAGGTGAACAGCTACATCATGGTACCTTTTTTCCGTATAACACAAATAAACATTGTATTGTATGTTAATGACGGAAGAAGTATGGAATATATTTTATAGATAGCAGCCAATAAGTGGTGGGAGAAACGAATACAGAAGACTGACACGGTTCATTTAAAATGGCTGTAGCTTTTCAAATTGTACAACTATTAATATTACAATTTTTCACCCGGAATATGATTTAAGTACAGCGAAAACATATAGAAACTCACAATACATATTATTATTATTATTATGTGTGAGCACAGGGGGATTGTTAGAGGAATATGAAAATGACAGCTGTCTCTTATTTGCAGCTGCAGACAAACGGATTCTCTACTCTTATTACTTAAAAGAGCAATTTTTTATGAATTCTTACCATATTTTAAATGATAGCACTACTTACTTACGAATAATTGTTTAAGTCACTTACATTGTTCGTAAGTGACGTAGAATCAAATTGTTAATGTTTTTCCTAGGTTTTTTGTTGTTACAATTTAGGAGTAATGGTACAATGGGAAATCCCACAGTATCTAATGTCTTTTCTGTGTTGGCATAGTGATCTGTTCTTTGGGACACAGGGACAACCTGTTCAAAATGTAGAGTGGTGCAATGACGAGCCAGTTTTTACTGGATCAACCCAGCCTGAGCCTCATCAGCAAAGCTCCAAATATTTTTGTCACAATGCATTGAGCCTTTTTTTCTTCTCACAACGAGCCCAGGATCCAATCCACGTGTTCAAGGAAATGCAGTTGCTGCTGATATTCATTATTGTAATAAGTATTATCTCAACACACTGGAAACTGCTCCGCTCAAATATCATGATTGCAACGTGGCACTGGATTTCCAATTTTAAAAAAAAGTTAGCCCTTTGTCAATCCACGGCTGGATGAAAGGCCTTCCCATGCCTGGTCGGTAATTGGAGTTGTTTTGGAGGCCGATGAAGGGGATGCCAAGGACCGGTTCAGATATCACTTCACCGTTGATGTGAAACGCGACTGGAAATCAAACTCAGGTCACCGGGTTTGCAGCGTGGTGTGCGAACCACTACGCCGCCTCTCCACCCATGGTAACTGTTGTCTAATCTGTAATATATATTTATCAGATGCCTCTGTAGGGAGTGCCAACCTTGGCGATAAACTGTGAATGTGGACATTTCACATTTTCATTTGGTATTTTAGGAAATAATATATTTTATCTGCAAACCACACTGAAAGTAGTCAGTGCCATATTGAATTGGCCAATGCAAGGCCCACATGAAAAAAAGTCACTCTGTGAGGCTACCCTTTGAAATTAAAAGGCAATATTTGTTGATATTATATATAATATTAAACTGCTTTTAGGTGACCTGAATAATTGCATTGTTGTGTTTTTTTTCCCCTCTTCTTTTCCCTGTTAGTACGGAGAAAAAATTTACTTGAAATCGCCGCTCACCCTCACCACCAAGTACTTGACGAAAATTGGCAGCTCTACCGCCAAAATGACACTCAAGACTGGCACTACAGAAGTCAAGTTGAGGGTAGAAACCACGTGCTTATTATGCGACTTACCCATTCATGCCTACACCACTTCTGGAGGTAGGGACTCCACTAGAGGGAGCGCTGGAGAGTCACTCTAGTAGATATTTGGCCTACTCTTTCATGCTGGACAGACGTCTTGGAAGAGGTGGGAGTAACTACACGTTACTCCACCGCATGTGCCCTGCGTTTGCCCACCCATTTGTGATAATGGTTGGGCAGATGCGGTGGTGGGTGGGGGGGGTTGAAGAAATAATGGACAAAGGGTGCAACCCTTGTAATTGTCGGCCTGACCCTTTAACTTCGCCACCGCTCCACTGCCCGCCATCAACAACGCACACTGGCCAAGGTGGCGAAGTACGGAGCCAACATGCCTATGTCTTTGCTTCGCTTTGCAGGCGGACACGATGGACTGCATGGAATTGTGGAGAGTGTTCATGCTTGCAGTTACGGAGGTATGTAAAACGGCACACATGCAGTACAGTATCGTATTGCGGCGGATAAATGCGTCCGTTGCAGTGGCGAATCCAAAAAAACTTGACATTATTTATATTTACCAGAGGAAACGCATTGAATATGTCCCCCCCCCCGCCCCATCAATATAGAGCCCTCTTTAAAACGCTCGACACTTCTGGACTGTACTCTTTGGTTCTATTCGGTAAAGTCACGTGACTTCACCGAATAGAACCAAAGAGTATGGATCCTTGCAGTCACGAAAGCTTCAAATCTAGAACTTCCGGACTGCCTCCCCCTGGGGAATTTCTAGACACGCCTCTGATTGGTTCTTGTAATCCATTTTATTCGAGGTCAACATGCTGACGTTAAATGTGTAGTGACATCGGAGGATCTCACTGGATGGTGCCGGCCTGAGAGGGCCACGGCACGCGATGCACCGCCATCGCGTGCACCCCGTGGGCGGGTGCAGTACCAGCCCTAGCGGTGCTTGGTGTGCCCTGGGATAGCGCGAGCACCACGCATGGCGTGCGGTGCGGGCCCCCACAAGGGGGCGTGAGAGAGTGCCATGGCCCAGGGGCAGGGTTGCCCTGGGCCATGGCACTCTGGTTGACCCCGCAGACACGTGATCCGGAGTGTCCACAGAGAGGCCCCCAGGTGGGGGGGGGGCTAGTAGGTGATCACGTGTCTGGGGAGAGCTCTCGAGAGGGATCGAGAGGGAGCTGAAAGGCTCCAGAAGGGGGCGGGGCCAAGGGCGGAGCGGCCCCGACCCATGGAGGGATAAAAGGTGGGTCCCTGAGAGGGACCGGGGTCGCTGCATTCTACAAACTGGAAGCTCTACGTCTCAAGCTGGAAGCTCTACGTCCTACGAGACAAACACGTGGTCGCGATCCTGAGTGAGAGGGTCCGACCCTTCGTAGCTGTAACTCCTCTGTATAGTGTAGTTAGCTGGGTGGTCACCACCCCAGGCTGTATCTGGTAAAGGGGCAGTTACCCCTTTGTGTTACGTGTTACAAACAAATGTGTTGCCTCTAAAATAAATAACGTCTGCCACTCAGTTGGACTCACTACACTTGTAATGCACATGCATAGAACGTGCCTGTGAAGTGCTTGATTAATCCAGGCCTCCCTTGTTGGAGACTAATGCCTCAATGGAATATATGACAGTAAACAAAAAGTCTGCTACTGCTAACACTACTACGGAAAACGTTTATAAAAATCAGTGTTACAATTTCCATATGCTCTCGCCGTCTATACTACATTGACTCACCCCTGCCTACCTCTCCCGTCTCATCTCATTCTATTTGAAGGCTTTCTCCCGAAGTGCCCAGTCAGCATTTTCTCAGTGGGAGGTCACTTACTCTTCTCTGCTGTTCCCATTGTCTGCAACTCTCTTCCCCCAGTCAACTGTAGTGTCAAGCCTCTGTCCAAGTCCAAAATGAATACCATACATTCCCTCTGTTTGTGACTGCTTCTCTACGAATACACCCACTGTTTCTGTACAACATCTTGAGACATGGTTGCATTTAGATACACCTCTGATTAGCAAGGTTGGCTGTGTATGGTGCGAAATAAGTTTAGCGTAGATGCTATATACAATCTAAATTATGTTTGAAATGTATGTGCTGCTGATTTTCATTCCAAGCACTTAAACATAAGACTATTTGCAACATTGAATTCACTACTTCTATTAGTATCCTTGTTTTCCTGAACTGTCCTCGCAATATTATATTTCCTGAGCGAGGTGTTTGCACAAAATACATGTTCAGATGCAAACAAATACAAAGATCCCCGTTTTAGCTTTCACAGACTGTAAGGGTGAGTGCTGTTGGTGAGCACCTTTGAAGGCCGGCACGGCACATGAGGGAGTTGGTGGCCTACACCACTCCTGGATGCCTTTGTCTCCCTTAGTGGCTACGGTTTATACATCACACCAGGTGTCCATTTGAGACTGAGCAGACCTAGAGGAGGCCCAGGATTGTTTCAGATAATTGTTACTGGTGTTGGAAATGAACGGGTATCGAAATCGCTGAGTAACGTTACGGAGCGCGCTTACTGCTACACTACCTCTCAAATGCAAACACAAACGCACAACAGACTCTCCGTATTTACAAGTCTTCTCTTGTTGATACGTTACGCCTTGTTTAACTAGTCGGTACGTGAGTTGGTTAATATCAACTATGAATCCCGCCTTCTTTCCTCGATCTCTCACCGTCACCATACACGTCTCTTTTAAACTGTCAACCCACTTACCGGTGCCTTCCGATGTTGTATTTCCATCAGTTAAAGGTGCCGGAAAAATCGCGCCTGCCCTTGGAACATTTGCACCGGGTGCACAAAGCCATAGCGACCGAGAAGAGGGCGAGGCTGGCTGATCCTGAATCACAGCTCTCCTTCAGCGGGCCAGGCCCAGAGACCCCATCACATTCACTGCCGCCACTACCTGTACCGAAGCCACAATTACCCCAACAATCACCTCTGGTGAGGCCAACGGAATGCGCTACGTCAGCGGAGACAGACGGTGCAAATATCTATTCAGAAGATTTGCTGTATCCCAGGTGATTTACGTTGTCTGTATTTTCATATCTTAAAATGAATTCAATCCGGTAAAATGTCTATGTGTGTGTGTCTGTGTGTAGCAAAACCCTCTGTGCGGGGAGCGGTCGTGTAGAGGTTATCGCACTGCACTCTGAACCCGGCCACCCGAATTAGACTCCCGCTCATGGCCAACACGACTATCCGAATTAGTCCTGTGCCTCCCCTGGTGTGAGGTGAAAGCATAGCCACTCGGGAAACAAATGCGATGAGGAGTGGTGCCGGCCGTCCACTCCCTCGTGTAACATCACTTTCCCCAACAGTCCGTGAAGGCTTTACGGGGAATATTTGTCGTTGTCTTTGTCACCGCGGTGCTGTTCTACGTGGTGAATAGCAGGGGGCAGTGCACCAAAATACTGTACAATGATTTCATGGTCACCACCTTTACCAAACCCACATTCTCTAGCGTGTTGAAGTATGGCCATCCAGCAGTGGATTGGCAATAGGGCTGTACGTGCTACATGTGTACTTTATTTATAGGCTGTAAACCGCACACGCTGTTAAATAATTATCAGTCGAGCAATTTCAAATGTTTGCTGAAGTATATTGCTTTACTCTGAAACACAATATTTATTGCTTTACTATGGAGCGTCGTGGTGAAGAGATGTTATATCCCTTGCCCGGTATGCAGGAGGTCGTGGGTTCGATCCGACCCTGACGCCTGCTGTATATTTTAAGTTTGCATGGTCTCCCCGTGGTTGTGTGGGTTTTTTTCCGGGTCCTCTGGTGTTTCCCTCCACATGTAATAACGTGCGTTTCGAGTGTTTGGCTGTAATACATTTCGACATGATTAGCCACTTTGTTGAGCTATCATTTGTGGCCAGGTCGTTTCTGAAAAAGAGCTATATGTGGGCCTTACCCGGTAGATGCAATAGTTTAGTATTTAATTGCGTATTTTTTCTGCTAAATTATAGCTATCAGAGCCATAACTAGATTCTAGGTGAATATTTAACTCTCATTAAGAATCTGCTGCGTAGGTTTTCGCGGTGGTGCTGGACAGCTCGCTCTCCGATCGGTGTTCGAGTTGGCACCGTGTGCTGTACGGCACTGTGTGCCACGGTTTTGCGAAAGCTGCCAGCTGAACGTCGAACAACGCACGGTGAACAAAGCCGTAACCCCATCAGAGAGCGAGATAATTAAAAAAAATACCCCAATTGGTTTTGCATGAGAATTACGCACAAAACTCTTCTCCAGACTGCAACGTTTAAGGGGCACAACGCAGAGTGTGTTTCTTGGTTTGTGCAGATGCTTCTACAAAGTGGATCGCGTGGAGGCTGAGAAAATGCTGCAAGAGCATCCGGAGCTGGGCAACCTTCTCATCCGCCCAGCCACCAATAACGAGGACTACTCGGTCTCAGTTTGCCACTGGCAGCCTCTGAACCGGTTAGACGACCTTCGACCGTCCTGGTTCAACTTTCGCAACCAATGTGTCGTCTCACCTCGGCTGATAATTAATCATCAACGGATCAGTCAGTGTAGCGTCTCAGCAGTTGTGTGCCCGCCATAAAATGAAACGTACACGAATGCCCAATACTTGCATAATAAATAATATACAAAACATGACATCTGTTGGCGATTGAAACACCTAAATATAAGTAGTGTGTGCACAAAACACACAAGGGGTTTTAACTCCCTCCGTAGTGTGGAAATTATAAATGCGATCTTGTGTATTTGCCAGTACTAAATTAATAAATAGGGATGATTATTTATTGTAAAATGGACAAATCAAATGTATTTGATTCATAACCGACTCGTTCTATTCTGGGACTGTCTTCTTCACAGTTGAAATAATAATTTATTATTTTGGTAAAGTCCACTTTCTTTCCTTAAGTGTGGACTTTTCTGCATGTGCGTGTTTACATATATTTTAGGTGCTCGCCAACAGCACTTGCCCCAACAGTTAAGGCTATATATGGGGGATGTATTTGTGTATATATAAAAAGTTGCTGTCGCTTTATCGTAACACATTTTTGTAAACGTATTTTCTTCTTCGAATGTAGGCCTCATCGACCACAACACTACAAAGTAACACATAAAAATGATCGATACATCATTGAGCTGACTAAAAAAGTGAGTACCCTGCACATTAATACATTGTGGTTCGTGGTTTAATAATGATGCATACACCTTGTAAAAATGATCCAGATTCATCTTACATTTTTTAATTATCTCTTTTCAATTTCCAAATTACAGAATTAATCTCACCTCGTGGTCATGGGTTTCTAGCGAGTGAACAACATTTACAACTTTTCAGAGGTGCCGCTTTGTGCCATCAATATATAAATATACTTTACGAGTCCGTGGTAGCTCTAGTTCTGTTATGTGGCACAGAATTCTTGACAAGGAAACTCAAATAAATAAAGATCTTGGTGACTGCGATTAGAAGGACTCTAGGAGTATCTCGCCTGCACAGGCTCCAACAAAAGCGATATAAGAAATGGGTTTGCGAGTGAAAACAACCGTTTTAGACAAAGTCAACGAAAGAAGGCCACGGGCGGTCAGGATGCGTTATGAGAACGGGCCCGGGCAGGATCCCGCACTTGGCGATGCTGCACACAACACAAGTGGGGGGATGAAAGGCAGAGGAGGCGGGGAGACAAAAAAAACAGTTAGAATAGATGCAACAGTAAAAAAACTATCTAGAAAATAAATTGAGACTGAACGATGCAGTAATGCCGCCTCTAGTAAGAGAACCACGGCTGAAATTCGTTCGGCCCCATCGTCGCGAAATGAGGGACAGGTGACGATGGATTTTCTAGGCATTGGTTAATCGACTGCAGGATGAAGGCTTCCAGAGGGCCGTCGTTGTTTGAGAATAATTCACCGTAAAAGTCGTCGATAGGGGAGGAGGGCCCAGGACGGGTTCAAATTTGGCTCACCTGCGCTCGTGGTAGTCGTGGTCAGGAATCAAACTCACATCATTTTGTTCATAGTGCAGTGGGCTAACCATTGCATCAACTGCTTTCCCCACTTGGTGTCAAATTGGATTAAATATGGTTGACATTAAACTTGCGTGTATGTATGTTGAACTTATTTCGCACCGTACAGTACATAGCCTACCTAGCTAATCAGTTGGCTACGTGATTACAATATATAAATGGCATAATTACAGAGTCACAATAATGTTTTAAACTTTTCAAAGTGTTCGTTTTTTTTACATTAGCGCATATTCCTGGACGGAAATGTACATGCAGGACAGTCCTTCCGTATCCTACTTAAACGAAAGCACCAACTCCGGTGGGGACTTGGCAAGACCCTCCTGAAAAAAAGGGATCTTGAGACTTCGTGTGGCTTTCCCCGGTTAACCAATTGCAAATATAATAATGGCAACAATAAAGTATCCGTCATTCAATCGCCGCCGTCATCAACCACGCATATTTCCACCCTCCCACTATCAGGAAGCCACTGTGAGCTCATCACTGTGTTTTAAATGGCACACGTACAATCGCACCCATTGCACGCGTGGGTCGACGTTGGGTAATGTCTTCAGCTGCGACCCCCCTCCCTCCCTCCCCCACGTGTTGCACCACGCTTAGGTGGAGGTCAATTCGCTGCAGGGAGTAGTAGACCATTTCGTCAAAGCCACCAACGGCATGCTGACACCATACGTCCAACAAGCCGGTGAAGCACGTGTCTCGACGCATCGCGCACATTCTCGCCTTTGCTTACGAGCGTGCACACTCGCGTGCGTTATTCACACAAAACACTCGCGCGCGTACACACAACCAAAGGTGGTTACATCGCGAACGATATCATGTAATGTATGTATTATCTTTGCAGAGAATGTTATTTACGAAGACGCCCTGGAATCTGAAGTATATATGGAGCTGTTTGTAGGCGCAGAGAGCGAACCGAATTCTACGGGAGAGCAACTGTCAGGTACATCGGTGCCTGCAAAAGCTTTGCATGTGGATTTGGCTTCAATAATACTGAGAGTTGCTGCCCGGTAAAAACAAAAATACAACAACACCCTGAACAAACGCATAGCACATTGTGGTCAAACATGTTAAATTATGCAGCTTTGTATGTAGATGTGTACATTCAAAGGGCTTCATATGCATTGAAAAGCATTTACAAGTCATTGCTCTGATGGGGGAGGCAGACAGTTTGCGACCAATTTTGTTAATTTCAACACGAAGTGTGCTCTTGTATCGCTACTACCGTTGCTACTGTTCCCATGGACTTACACTCCTTGGTTCCAGCACCCATGTTGAGGACTTGTTTTAGCATACTTTCACAGAGATGGTCACTGCATCGCGAGCTTTGAAACGCGCTTCTGCGCCGTCTGGAACGCTTTCCCTTCCGATATTAGGAAGCCATTGGAGCTATGCACTTTTACACGTAGATTGAAAACTGATTTCCTTATAACTGCGTTTTGTGTTTAGATTATTGTCCTTCTCCCGCACCTCCAATTAGCACGGTTTGCTACGTATGCTGCGAGAGAAATTCAACATACATAATTCTAGATTTGAAGCTTTCGTGCCTGCAAGGATTCATACTCTTTGGTTTTATTCGGTAAAGTCACGTAGGTAAAACGAATTAAAATAACCATACATACACCTCATTCATACTTGTTCAAGAACCATAATGCTGGCCACGACACTTATCTGTTTCTTTCATCGTACTGCTCAACGTTGCAATGCCATCCATTTTACAACCTTGCTCGATTCAAGAAACGTATTAACTCATCGATCACACCTGTAGGAGTGCTGTTTGTTGCTGGCCTGTGCTGAGCAACCATGATTGAAATATAATTACAACTGCTACCGCCTATAACAGCAATTGTGACTTGGCACTTTTAAATACAGCTTGAAAACATATTTTCGTGTTTTGACCATTCCTCTAGTTTAATTGGATTTTATATATATTTGTGAGCGTAGTTTTTATTATTATTATTATGTACAGCACTTTTAGATATTTTTATATGAAAGGAGCTTCATAAAATGAATGCAATTATTATTTTGGTTTAATACACTCTTCTTGGATTTGACACAGATATTGTATACATACATCCATTTATTTATTTATTCCACGAATGCCTTGCTGCGTGCTAGTCCTACAGTCAGTTTTACAATTATTCTTTACTAGGGATGTAGTATCTAGGCCCGATTTCTATTTCAGATTTTCAAGGTCGATTTTGGATGTATTTTTTTTTTTCGGATCATTCACGTCGAATAATTATTTAAATCGTCTGCGTGCGAACACACGTGACGTCGCCCGATGTCATGACATGTCACCTTTTGACTGGAAAACACGCAAGTAACTCGTTGTTTGTGATGTTGTTTCCTGCGATGCCATATTTTCAGGCCGATCGAAACTAAATAAAAAAATAATTCTACTCAAAATGTAGTATCTAGGCCCGATTTTGTGGAGATTTTTTTTAACTATCTAAAAATGAAACACATCCATGCGCTGTGTAATTCAAGCCCTTTGCAGATGAGGCAAAAGTGTGCCTCAGAGACAGAGAGAGAGAGACAATCACAGAGCAAGATATGGAAGTAATGACATTTTTTATACGTATATTGCCCTCAGAGCACGTTACATCACGCCTCATACATTATCAAAGGCACCCCCCTGAGTGGCAGCTGCCCTTGTGAGCATAACGTGTCTCAGCCATCTGGCCTGCTATGTGTATCATCCCAATTGAGCAATTTGCTGATAATTTTAGAATCTTCGATAAAAAAAAAACACTGGACCCTGACGTCGGCATACATACAATGGCCTACTTTTGTGAATGAGGTGATCTTTAAGTCCGCTGTGAAGCAGACGACGCGCATTGGCAAGGTTATTACACCCACAGCAGCTGTCTCCATACAGAGGTTTATAAAACCCAAGTGTGTTTGCACAGCATATTGGAAATTTTCATTGGGAACTTAACACATTAAACTGTCATCATGTGGTCCATGTATATAATCAAATACAAACTAATAATTTAAAGTGAAAGTGCAGCCCCTGCAATTGCTTACTTACCACCACTACTGGCTGAACGGATTCCTCCGGGAAGGAGCTCTTAAGAGAACCCTTGAAGAGGTGATTTGGTCTCCTCTTTAACGCTGTTCAGACATCTTGGAAGAGCACCTATTTAGCATTCGTATTATGCTCCTGATGGCCATTTATATGAGAGCTTGTTAAATATAAATATTTAACAAGCTCTCATATGTTGTGGAGAACCAACGACCTTTATGCTGTAATGAAAAATCAAAAGGAGACTTTTTTTCAATCAATAGCTTCAATATTCACATTGTAATGAACACATTTCACTAAATGGAATAAATAAATGCCTTTTATTTCTCGCATGACATAAATACAAAACACAAGCATGGAAGGGTAATTACTTTTGAGTCAATATTCAGACTTTAGCCAACCATCCATCATGCAATTCTAAATTGAAAACTCATTTTTTTAGAACTGATTGTCGTGTTTAGTTTGTTGTCCTTCTCCCGCACCTTCAAGCTGGTAGATTCTTAGTGCAGTACACTCATGGCTGAACCAATGCTGCACCGGTGTCTGATAATCAACAGGTGTGTTTTACGTGTGCTACATTGTACAACTCGCATTACAAATTATAGCAATTATCTTGTGAATACAGAACACTGGCAAATTAAGAAAAGTGGTTTTGTGCAGTACCCTAAACGTCAAGCTTTCTTCCCCAGTGGCCTTCCATTTCCAACAAAACTGCTGAGCATAGGCAGCAGTGGGTGGCTATGATTAACTGGGATTGGCCCCGTCAAATATACTTACCAGCTTACAATGAAATACAAAAAAACAACAACTCAATAAGGTCACGAAGCAGTCCTTAAATAGCCGCGTGCAGCTCCAGAGTCCCTAGGTTTGCCGATTCCTGGCCTAGACCTTGAAGCCCCTCAAAGCTGGACTCTTGGAGAGAGCGCAAGGTCACCGCCGGCAGAGCCACGTGGGTGAACCCGCATCACCCGGCTGTCCGCTCTTGGCAAGCTTGCGTCCCTCTGAATTTTGGATGCTCATCTCACTTCTTCTTTTGAATAATTCATTTAAAAAATGTTAAATCTTGACTTAAAGCTTTCGTGACTGCAGGAATTTATACTCATTGGGTCTTTCGGTAAAGTTACATAGATATCTAAAAATGTAATTTCATCCAATAAAAATCATACAGTTCAGCCCTCGCTTTAAAAATATATATTCGTCCCCATCCTATGGTCCTGAGCGATGACCCCCCCATCGGTGGCAGGACAACTTCCACAGCGCCACCGTGAAAGTGAATTCCATTGCAACTTGGTATCTCAGTGAAGTGCAACGACACACAAGGAAGTGGCCAATCATCTGCGATCAGGGGCACACTCCTGAAAGTGTCTTGGTGCTCGGTTAATATATTCCTGAGCAATGAAAGCATACAACATTCATGTGATACGGTGTTTTGTGTTTGTGTGGTTTTTTTACAGCTAATAAGCTGAAACCAGTTTTGCCACCGGACATGTTACCCACAGATAGAGCATCACCATCCTCATCCTCAGCAAATGGTACCAATTAGCTGTCTATAATTGTATTTCCACTGACCCCAAAATAATAATTGAGCATTGCACAATGGACCTTGTAAAAGTATTAAAATGTGATAACGACTCTGGTGTAATCAATCACTTAGTATGGGTGTTTACTGGAGTGGTTTATTTTCTTCTTCAAAAGTTGAGGTCAACGATGCCTCGAAGCTTCTGATTTGTTGTCACTTTATGCCTTGCTACAGTGTTCTGTGTTCGTTTTCAAATATTGTACTGTACTCGAATTTGGTTATGTTTTCCAAAAGCGCAAGCATATATATTTTGTAATGTGTCACCAATGCCAGTCATACACGGATACCTGGGAGAGTTACACAAAGATGTATGCAACTGCGTCGGCTTTCGTTATTGTGCTGCACGGCTCTCTGATGCGTTTTCTGGGTGTACCGCTTAATGGTGAGCATGATGTCCGACGCTCCTCAATAATCTCTAAGCACGTGTAGTGAAACGTCCGATGTTATGTCGAACTAAGACAAAGATCCCCCCGTATAGCCTTAGCACTGTTGGGGCAAGTGCTGTTAGCGAGCACCTATAAAGGCCGGCACGGTACACGAGGGTGTGGGTGGCCAACACCACGCCAGACCGCCTTTGTCTCTCCAGTGGCGATGTTTTTACACACCACACCAGGTACTCATTTGAGGCTGAGTGGACCTAGGGGATGCCCAGGACCGATTCAGATTATCATCACTGGTATTGGCCGTGAACGGGAATTGAATTCGGGCTACCGGGTTCGTAGCGCAGCGCGCTAACCGCTACACGACTGCCCCCCCATAACAACAGGCAGTAAGACCCGTATACACATCGGAGAGCTAAATATGGATACAATTTGTACCATGAGCGCATTGTTAGCAAGACGTTTGTAGGCTTCTCAGAGTGGCGGGACAACTCTTACAGCGCAATGAGAAAGTGAATTCTACTGAAACTTAGTACAGCGTGCAGCATGACACACACGTGGCAAAACATCTGTGAGCAAAACACATTCCTGAAAGCGTCTTGGCACTCGGTGAATCTTTTCTTGAGTAATAATAGTATATACTTACAGCATTCACATAATAGAGTGTTGTGTGTGTTTGTACTTTACAGCTAATAAGATGAAACCAGCTTTGCCACCAGAAAGAGTATCCACAAATATAGCAGCACTACCATCACCATCCACAAAAAATGGTACTGATTAGCAATCTATGATTGCATTTCCATTGATCCCAGAATAATAATTGTGTATTGCACAACGGACCTTGCAAAAGTACTCAAATGTGAAAACAACTCTGGTATAATAACATATTTTAGTATGGGTGTTACTAGAATGTTTTTTCTTCTTCAAAAGTCGAGATAAATGATGCTCGTCGAAATGATCTCGAATCTTACGATTTATTGGCACTTTTATATTCTGTATTTGTTCTAAAATATAGTACTGTACTCGAATTTGGTTATGTTTTCCAAAAGCGCAAGCATATATATATTTTGCAATGTGTCACCAATGCCAGTCATACACGGATACCTGGGAGAGTTACACAAAGATTAATACAACTGCGTCGGCTTTTATTATTGCGCTGCACGGCTCTCTGATGTGTTTTCGGATTGTACCGCTTACTGTTGGACATAATGTCCGACGTTCCTCAAGAATCTCGCAGCACGTGGAGCGAAATGTCGGACGTTGTGCCGAACAACACGCGCTACGACCCGCACACACATCGGAGAGCTGAACACGGATACAGTTTGTACCTAATAGGCATTGCTAGCAAGAAGTTTGTAGGTTTCTCCGCGTGGCAGGACAACGCTTACAGCGCAATGATCAAATTCAATTCTACTGAAACTTAGTACAGCGTGCAGCGCGACACACAAGCGGCAACACACAACTCCTGAAAGTGTCTTGGCACTCGGTGCATCTTTTCCTGGGTAATGGACGTATTGTAACAGCGTTAACATAACACAGTGTTACGTTGTCTAACTAACGCAAACGACAATGGATACTCATAGTCATTTATATGTATTCATTTATCCCCCCCAATTCGTGCAAGAAGAGCACACATACGTTGTCATCACATCTACCCCTCTATTTAAGGAACGAAACAGGATAATTTCTCCACAAATCTGGCTGTCGCCTGATGAAGCTAGTTGTAATTACTGGCGAAACGTCGTTCTCAGGTTGTAAATGTTGTGGCTTTGCTCTCCCAACACACCGATGTTGCTGTACTTGTGACGAATTGGCATGTTCTGCTTACTTGAAAAACCTTACTAGTTGGCTGTGTTGGGTGGTGGTGGGTTTAACGACATATTTATATATTTACGCGATCTAAAAAAAACGTGTATTGCGGATGATATTGGTCGCGAAAGCCTACGTGTTAAAGTGTCTTATAATAACAGGGTTTTTTCCCCTTTTTTCTGGCAACAAAACTAAAACCTTTTTACAAGGATTCATGTCTGCATTAACCACAATACCTGCAGTCAAAATGCAAACAAAAAACATACTGTGATAATATATGGCGTCATCTGGTCGAGCACCAATTGGGTCGAGGCTCAAAAGAAAGCCGTCCCTTGGTGTGGACCAATCAGTTTCAAGGACAATGCATATATTATCATGGTATGTTTTTTGTTTGCATTTTGACTGCAGGTATTGTGGTTAATGCAGACATGAATCCTCGTAAAAAGGTTTCAGTTTTGTTGCCAGATAAAAGGGGAAAAACCCTATTATTACATTTTCGTACTGGCAAAGGCGGTCTAATGATGTGTCTTATAATCTTACAGCGAATTACCGGAAATCACTTTTGCCGTCAAAAAGATTCTCTACAAAGACAGCACCATCACCATCACCGTCCTCAGAAAATGGTAACTCATTAGCTGCCTATGATTGAATTTCCACTCACAACCAAAAACAATACAGTGATTGATCATTGTACGATAGACCTCGTAAAAATACTCACGTGTGAGGACGACTCTGGTATAATCCTTTTAGCATGAGTGTTACTAATTTTTTTCTCTCAATAAAAGTTGACGTAAATCATGCTCACGTAAATTACCTCGAAGCTACTTATTGTTAGCACTCAAGTGTCGTGTATATTTGTTATAAAATATTGTTCTCGAGTCTAATGCTGGCGCGAGTGTATTTTATTTTAGTGAACACCAATCCCAGTCACACAGGTATACCTGGGAGAGTTCTACAAAGATGTATATACTACTGCCTTGGCTTTCGTTATTGTGCTGTATAGTTATCCAATGTGTTTTCTGAGTGTACCTCTTAATGTTGCACATAATGTCCGTATATTTACAGCATTAGCACAACAGAGTGTTGTGTGTGTTTTTATTTTACAGCTGATCAATGGACATCTGTGTTGCCACAAAAAAATGTATCCACAATGACAACATTGTCACCATCACCAACCCCAGAAAATGGTACTGATCAGATGCTTACTGTATGATTGCATTTCCACTCACCCACCCAAAAAATGATAATGAGCACTGCAAAACCGACTTGGTAAAAGTACTAAAATGTGACGATAACTTAGGTGTAATCCTTTTAGCATGGGTTTTACTGCAGAATGTTTTTCAAAAGTTGAGGTAAATGTTAGTCATAGAATTTGACCTTGAAGCTACTGATTGTTGTAACTTAATGTCTTGCATTTTTAAAAATAAAATATTGTACTCTACTCCAATTTGATTATGTTTTCCATAAGCATGAGTGTATTTTTTTTTCATTTTGACACCAGCGCCAGTCATTGTGCTCTATAGCTCTCTGATGTGTTTTTGGGTCGTACCGCTTAATGTTGGACATGATGTCCAACGTTCCTCAATAATCTTCCAGCATGTGCAGCGAAATAGCGGCCATCATGCCAAACGACACGCGCTATGACCCGTACGCACATTGGAGAGCTAAATGCGGATACAATTTGTACCTAGAATGCATTGCTAGCAAGACATTTGTAGGTTTCTCCAAGTAACCAGGGCAACTCTCATAGCGCAATGAGCAAATTGAATTCTCCTGAAACTTGGTAGAGTGTGCAGCACGAGACACACACGTGGCTAAACATCTGTGAACAAGACACTCCTGAAAGTGTCTTGGAACTCGGTGAATATTTTCTTGAGTGATGGCAGTATACTCACAGCATTAGCATAATAGAATGTTGTGTTTTTTTATATTTTACAGATGATAACTGGTTACCGATGTTGCCGCCAAAAGGTGTATCTACAATTAAAGAAGTATTACCATCCCCAGGAAATGGTACTGATCCACTGCCTATAATTGCATTTCCACTGACCCCAAAAAATGATGATTGAGTATTGCAAATCTGACTTGGTAAAAGTACTCAAATGTGATGACAACTCCAGTGTATAGGTAAATAATGGTCATGGGATTGACCTCAAAGCTGCTTATGGTTGGCACTTAACGTCTTACTGTAGTGATGTGTATTCGTTCTAAAATATAGTTCTATACTCTGATGCAGGGCCGGATTAAGCTAGTGTGGGGCCTGTAGCATATGTTATAAAGGGGCCCTACATTAAAAAAAAAATTAAAAACGTACATTTTTAACTTGCATAGTAAAGTAATTGTATTTTTTTCATTTTCCATACAGCCAGATAATACGACAAATCGCTAAACTTAAACACCCAGTCGTTCATAAAAGTTAAAGGCAGTATAGTGCTATAGTAATAGAGCAAGTGCAGAATCACTGAACCGGAATTGATAGCTTGAAAGCATTTAGCGTGGGGCCCTTGAAAGTGCGCGGCCTGTAGCGTATGTCGCTGCTTTTGTTCCTAGGATTATCAGGCACTGCTCTAATGTGATTTTTTTTCTCACAAACACGAGCGTATTGTTTTAAATCTCTGAACTAGCAACTCGCATGTCATATGGACATGACTGTACGTCCGTCTCTCCCAGCCAGCCAGCCAGGAAAACGTTTAATCATATATAGAGCCCAGTCTCTCTCCACCTTTCTCTTCCCTTCTCTGTACTGTATATTTCAATTCATCGACATTTCTCACCTTGTCATGATTTTCTATCTATTTCGATATTCCTATCTATGGGACTTTTTGGCAGTATCAAAATTATGAAAAAATAAGTATAGGTTTTACCATTTCTGGCAATAAAATAGGTTTTACGATGATCAAACACCAAATAGGTGCCTTTTGTGAGGCATAAAGAGTGCATTAACCACACGTACTTGTGGCAAAACATGCAAACAAAAATGCTCTGATAATAAATTATTTTACTTTGAAATTGATTGGCTTATACCAGAGGCAGCCTTTTCATGGCCTCGTCTCGCCAGTGTGAGACCAGAGAATGCCACAAGATGAACAGTACAAAGACAATGTGAGTATCAAGAGGATGTATAACTCGGGTTGAGCAGTTATAGCTACGGGACCTTTTTTTGCCAGCAGCAAAATTATGAAAAAATACTTCGAGGTTTTTTCCCTTTCTGGGAATAAAACAGAAAAAACACAACCCAAGCACACACCGGAGAACTAAAGTTGAATACAGTTCGTACCTAGAATGCACTTCCAGTAAGGAACGTGTGTTCGCTTAGCTGTATTGCAGGACACATCTTGCAGCTAAATCACTCGTAGAAAGCGTATTCCACCAATAGGGAATGGCTTATCGAAGACACAACAAATATTCCTCTTCAGTGTGGAGGAGAATGGGTCTGGGGCAATTACCGTGCAGTGTTCTACACTTTCCCTTCCAACAATTTGGACCTCTCCCTCACTGCAGATCAAGGTCTAGCTCTTCGATGAGTTTTCTAGGTGTGCCACCTGATGGTTGTCGTCATGGTGGCGAGGTGTTATCTCCCTCGCCTGGTTTGCAGGAGGTCGTGGGTTCGGTCCCAACACTGATGCCTGTATATTTGGAGTTTGCGGCATCTCTCTCCACGTGGTCGCGTAGATTTTCTCCGGGTCCTCCGTTTTTTTCCTTACACGTTTAGAGACATGCGTTTAAAGTATTTGGCTGCTATGCATTTACACATCATTAGCCACTTTCATTTGTGGCTGGGTCACCTCGGAACAATAAAAATATGGCTCAGTGGGCTTTACCTGGCCAATCAAATTGTACATTTTTTGTTCACGTGCTTGGGGAGCTTTTTTGGGAACTGAATTAGCATGTGGAACGAAACGTCGAACATCGTTTTGTAACAACATGCAGGTACAACCTGAAAGCACAAGCACGAACACAGGAGTGACACTTCAATGTCTGTCATGATTTATTATGTGTCTACAGGAATGGATGAACTCAAGAGGGCCATTGAACTCAGGCGTCTGCAGCTTGAAGGAGAATATGAATAGTTGGGGTCATCGATGAAGGCAGATACTTGGAGAGCCAACTTGTGGACTTGTACTTTGCCAACAGAATAGTGTTGACCTTTGCTTTACATACAGTGCTAACTGCAATCTGAACAACCTAGCCGTGTTTTTTTTGTTAACACACCTACACGAGACTTATTATTGTTTATGGAGAAGCTGCATCGATTTCTCCGTGATTGTAAATCATACGTCTAGCATATACATGTCCGAGGTATTGTGTATAGAGTGATTATATGGTATAATCAATATTTAACATTGTCATACGTTGCACACTCATTGATATTGGTCGCGAAAGCCTACGTGTTAAACTTTTTGTACATGCTGATCATATGCATAACTTTGACCTAAAAGTCATTGAAATGCATCTACATACGAGAAAAGGTGAAAATGTGAATGCCATAAGCCACATCAAATCAATAAATACAAAGAACACAAAGTCTAAAGCAAGCATTGAGAGGGTCAGATAACAAACGAATAAAACATATTCATTAGCAAACAGTATATTTTTTCCTTTCAAGGTCTTGTTATTGACAGATGTTTTGAGCTTTTTCCTACTTGTACTTTTCCACCACTGCCAATGCAGTATCACCAAACAATTTGTTGAAATGAGAGGCCCCGGGTTCACTCATAACCAAAAATGGGAAGGTAATTTTCCCCAAATTCAACTGAAGTTCATCTGTGGAACCGCGGTGTGAGAGTAGTGACAGCTGCTGTGACGCACACACGGTCATTTGTAAAAAAAAAAATAGATTTGTAGCGAGGACTAAATCCACCCAACGGAGGAATAAGGCAATACGTACTGCTGATCAATCTTCTAATTATGTATACAAACGCAATATGCATTACCATGGAGTGTCATGAATGAAAGAATATGTATTAGCCGAACTCGATTCTTTGTTACCACATATAAATACAAAATATTATCTGCTTAAACGAATGCTTCTGGACACCGTTGGTCTGAAAAGCCAAGAGGGCGATGAACAGCAACAAACTTTCTATATGAATGTTGAAGGTTGTTTAGGCATTAGATGGTTATTTAGGCATTGGTTTTAAGCTGTTGAAATTACTTTGGTGCCACCGTGCAATGGTTCTTGATGGGCAGCCTCTAAGGCTGTGGAGCCGACGGAATGATGGGGCACATGGTCAACTCATGCTCATTAAGACCGTTGAATGGGGGCAAACTAAAGATGCCCGGATGGCTTATGAGTAAAAATGCAGTTTCCAATTGCCCTTACAAACAGATATTGTGTGACGGATTACATGCTGCTTTATTGACAACACGTAAATACAATATTCATGACATGTGTCCACAATTATTGACACTGAATGTTATTTTGAATGTCAAGGCCGCGACAACGTTTTACAGCATTATATAAAATGTACGACTAGTATTCTCTATATAACCGTTGTGTGCAGTGCATACCATGTTTGTTGAACAGGAGAGACCAACATAGGTTTTTTCAATAACAAATAATTCCTAATTTGTGACGTCAATCTTTAATTCCATTCCATTTTAATTTCATAATATATCGCTTCTCAAGTTGAACAATCAACTCCAGTCATAATTGTGCAGTAATTGAATTAGCCTTGCACACAGCCCTCAACAAGTCTCATACATTCACGCAAGGACGATTATTCATTAACTGCTGGAATCAAGCCACTGCCCCCAATTAAATAATGATAACTTTACAATCTGCAAGAATATTTGAAGGTGTTTAAAAACTATATTTTACCGCAATTTGTATTAAATAAATAACGATTATGTCTAGTCATATACATTTGTAATTGTTTCTTATGTCGGTCACGTTCTAATTATATCAGGCTAATGCAGTACTGTTCCGTAATTTGACCTTGCAATTACTCTTTTCAGTATTTTTATATTTTAATATAACTTTAAAACATGTATTAATTAACTGCCATAAAAAGAACAATGTAATTTAACAAGATATACATTTCATAAAAGAGATGACAGCCAATGATCAGGACTTACACATCCGAGGCAACACAACCGAGGGCAACGTCTACCATGGATATGGAGCAATGAGATCGTCTCAAGTGTAGCAGCTCGAAATATCGTGTTTGATGCAGGAGGATAATTCATACAATTTCCCACTCTTTCAAATATAAAACACCATAATTATGTTTTTTGCAGTTTATATTTTCTTAAAGAAAAACACTTGTCATAAAATTCATCGTTAAATCTGTGTTCGTAATAAAACGGCAAATAGGTTGTTTCGTGAAATGGGATACTTACGCAGTTGTTTATAATTCACTGAAGTATTTTTTAAGATTCAATGTATGCGATTTAAATACTTAATTAGGAATCCAGAGAAAATATTACACGCTTCAATAAAATAGCCTCATAATTCGTAAATGTGTTATAAAATCCAAACACTCTTTGAAATGTTTTAAACCATAAAACAATTAATTGTTAACAAAACATGTTCCATCAACTTACCCAATCAACGTATAAAACTTCTAAAGGGCCATTTTTTACATATATATTTTTTTATGAAGCGACAATGCCTGCGTGGCGTTTCAGCACGCTATCTATGTGTTTCAGCACGCTATCTATGTGTTTCAGCACGCTATCTATGTGTTTCAGCACGCTATCTATGTGTTTCAGCACGCTATCTATGTGTTTCAGCACGCTATCTATGTGTTTCAGCACGCTATCTATGTGTTTCAGCACGCTATCTATGTGTTTCAGCACGCTATCTATGTGTTTCAGCACGCTATCTATGTGTTTCAGCACGCTATCTATGTGTTTCAGCACGCTATCTATGTGTTTCAGCACGCTATCTATGTGTTTCGGCACGCTATCTATGTGTCCCGTGTTGTGACCGAGAACATACGAGGCTTGCGCCGTCCAGTACCCGGAGGTGTGACCAGCAGCTGAAATGCAAAGATGACATGAAATGTGATAAAGGAGTACATTGCCATGGTCACAGAGTAATAGATAAGTTTACAATGACCCCCGAAATTGGATGGGCTGTTCTGTTCGGAATTGGAGCCACTAAGCAGCAGCCCTCATGTGGTGGACCGATATTGATTCGAGAAAAAAAAAGAGTTCTTAGGTTTAGGGAGTTGGGGGTCTCAGCCTGGTCACCAATTAATGCTCACACACACAACATCATTTTGCATTACATTTGGTTCTGCACTTAATTCGGATAAATTCCGGCTTTGATAATTAAACGTCGGGTTGACAGTCATGCGACGGACATTGATATCGTTGGCAGGGCGGGTGGGAAAGTGCTGCCCCCTACTGTGTAATCAGAGGTCACCTGTAGGGACCTCAGGAGTAGCTCTGTGATATCAACGTCTGAGGGCCACTCTTGAACATGAAGGGTCGTAGTCTTTTACGGGATATCCGAATCGATACTTCATCTCCTGACACGATAACTTCAATAGCACCATCGGGATAACATTGAGCAGAAATATAACATTACAAGATTAAAGAAATATTAACGATTGAAATTGATTGGGAGGCCTCACAGGTGTTGAATGGGTAGGCTTAGCGAATTATGTTTCAGACGCCCATTTCTCTTTACCATGTCGACCTTTGAAGAGAGCCCATGCAGGCACAAGTTTTTACATGCTCAACAAAACTCTGACTCTTGACTTGTCTATATGGCTCCCAAAACTAACACCAAAAGTAGTTCCTCCCTCTATGCTCACTGGTCAAGACGCTTACAGGTCAAGAAATACGCTGCGTGGCACCGTGTGCGTGGGAGACAAACGTCAGACATCGTGCTGAACAACGAGCGGTACAACACGGTCACGCGGCAGAGCTTCTGCAGCGCAGCCGTCACGACCTACGCAGGAAATGGACACAAACCGTGCACTGTGGTCTCTGCATGCCTTAGCCTGCACTTAGGCGCAAACAGGGGGGGGGGACGTTATAGGGAACTCAATCTCAATGGGACATCTCAACGGATGTTTCTGCTGCAAATGCGCCAACGCATCACACACTCTTTGGTTCTATTCGGTAAAGTCACGTAGGTAAAAAATAAAACAACAAAAATCACGACGTTTCGGCCACAACACAAGCGGCCTTCATCAGGTGAAGGGACCAGACTGTCTCGACGTTTAGAGTTGATGGTGGTAGTAGCTGCGTTGTTTTTGTTTACAAAGGAATACATTTCTCCAGTATAATGCAATATGCAACATTAACCAGGAAGGGCATGTGGTCTCATTTACTCCACATCTGGTGCCACTATCTTCCACCTGGCAGCCACCTACACTGAGCATTGCATAAGCAGGATGAGACGAGGCCTCTACATAAAAATTACAGGCTGGAAGAGCTCCCCAATGGGTATTCGAGTTGTACCGTGCGTTGTTCGACAATGCACGGTATATTGGAGGGTACAATTTATGCGAAATCTGCTGGAATCACACATACAAAATGCTCATAAATTCATGACACAAGTAAGAACAGCAATTGGCCATGCATTATTAAAATTGTGGGAAAAGCCAAAGATGAAAACCATTCATATTATCCATGAAGTTCTTCTTGAATGCATACCATAGCAGGGTTGTTTGAAGGGCATTCTTGTGATGTGTTCCTCTCCAAAATATATATGTATTTTTTGTAAAATAGCCATATACATATTGAACATTCAAACTTCTGAGAAAACGCATGCACGTGAAAAGTAAATGAGGTACATCTGCGGTTTGGCAAGAGACACGTATTGAACGATCCATCCTGTGATGTGCATTATTAATAAGTACGAATTTTACATGACATTTGATGACAGTTTCTACTAGAGAACATAACGGTATATCACAAACAAATGTTTGATGATTACTGAAGGTAATTTAATTGTATTAAGATTGTGTCAATGACTAAAATAATACTACATATCATAATTTACTAAAATGTGCATAAAGAAACAATGTCATCCAGTTCTCAGATTCGTTTTCAGGTTGTACTGCCTGCTGTTCAACACGATGTCCGACGTTTGCCTCCACATGCAGGAAGCTTCTTCATGAACCTAATAAGCTGTCAGGAGATTGGACATCATGCTAAACGACACACGGTACAACCCAAAAACACTTCAGAGAGCTATGCAGCAGCACAACCATGGAAACCTACAAAATAGTATTATAATTCCATACGTATGTAGTGGCATCGCGGATGTCACTGTGTGGTGCCGGCCCTAGTGAGGCACGGCGTGCGATGCATTGTCAGCGTGGACACCCCATAGGTGGGTGTAGTACCAGCCCTAGAGGGGGCTCGGTGAGCGCTGAGAGAGCGCAGTGGCACAACGCGTGGCGTGCAGTGCTGACTCCTACAGGAGGGAGTGTGAGAGTGTCAGCCATGGGATGAGGTTACCCTGGGCCTTGGCACTCTGGTTGACCCTGAAAGGCACGTGACCAGTAAGATCTACACAGGGGCCCCAGGTGGGGGGGCTTGGGGGTGGTCACGTGTCAGGGTGAGATCCTACGGGAAGGGTTGAGAAACGACAAGAGGTTTCTCGAAGGTGGCCATGGCCAAGGGCGGGGCCAGCCACGACCCAGCAGCTTTCAAACTGGGTCCGCACAGGGACAGGGGTTCAGTGTTGCTGTTGTCATCTGAAGATCTACATTCTACGTTCTACGTCCAAGTCACCAACACGAGGACCCCAGCTAGGGTCCTGTCTGTTGTAGCTACTCCCAGTAACAAGCGTAGTTAGCCTGGTGGTCCACCACCATAGGTCATCTGGTAAAGGGGCAGTAACCCCTTAGTGTTAATGTGTTGGTGTTAATAAATATGTGTTGCCTCCAAGAAGTACGTCTACGACTCACTACACGTATAAACACTCACTAAGTGGCTGAAACAATCTTAACATGTAGAGAACTGCAGAGCAATTTTTGGCGCCAGCTCACCATCTGGTAGCTTTTCAGCTCGTGTTTGTGATTTCTCAGAGATTGTGAGATGCAATTTGCAATGAAAGACGTTATATGAATAATTGGAGTTCATTTCATATTAGTATTAGCATTAAAACAATTGAAACTAACGGTTTTTATCAAAATATGCAGATATTTACCCGATGCCTGTAAGACACAAGTACATGAACCCTGACTTACAACGTTGAACATACGTTGCGTTATTACCATCGTCAAATTAATTTAAAAAAATAAAACAAATAATATCATACAACTCCTGCGAAATGTATTTTTGCAGTTAATAACCTGAAAATAAATATTCAAAAATAGAGCATATAGCTACAGCAATATAACAGTTAATTGTCGGTAATAATGTAGTTTAGAATGAAAAAGAAAAATCAATACGGGTTGAAGTAAAGTGCATGCCCGCTAGGATAAAATAAATGACCACAGCAACCCATTATCGGCTCCTTCAGACATGTTTGTTCTTCCAAGGGTGTGCTTTGAGGCACAGATCAACCCTGCGCAGGAAAATTCGATATTTCCATCGCAGGGAGTGTTGATTAAAATGTTTGAAATTGGTCCCTTTTTGTGAATCAGTTCGCAATGCGCACAATTCCCCTCTCTGCTTAGACAAGGTGGTTCTATTGAAGCCTGGCAACTTTATAGTGTTAAAGAAGGCTTATATATATTTATTTCCTGCACAAAATATAAGGTGACTTTTTTTTCTTCCAGTAAAAAAGTGTAAAGAAACCTCTGCCTCAAGTCCTTTAAAATTATTTAAAGAAGAACAAAACACTTTTGGGAAGCAGATAAAAATGGAGTGACATGCGACGTCACTACTGTGTTGGCTCGGTACGGGTGCTGTAGGCGGGTGTCACGGGGGTCGTGTGAGGCCGTGACACTCCGCGTGAACCCAACAGGACACGTGACCGGATAAACGGGGGCTAGGGGCCCCAAGGGGGAGCTTGGGGGTCACGTGGTTGGGGGCCCAGACCTTCCCGAAGGATCGAGAAGGGGGGCGTGGCCTTTGGCTGAGCCGGCCACGCCACAGAGGTTACAAGCGGGCCGCGAACAGAGAGCGGGGCTGTTCAACCCCGAGATGAAGACGCCATCAGAGGTCCTCGAGTCTCCGATCGTCGTTCGTGACCAGGCAGTCCGTCACCTGCCTTGGTCACGCTGTGTAGTATTCCCCGATTGTTAGTGAGATTAGGAACGTATAATGTATAATGAACATTATGTATAATGTTCACGTTGGTTGTTATGCGTTAATAAACAGTGTTGCCTCCATGTTGTGTGTGCGCCTCAATTGAACCCACTACAAAGGTATAAATTGCAAAACGATAGTCTCTTCGTAAACGTGCATTTCACGGGCACGAGTGCCACCCTCACGATTTCATAGATGTGAACGTTGAAAGGGTCGTTTTTATAAACAATGGCTATAGGTGGCTGCATGGCTGAGAAATCAGAACACTGAGCTGGCAGTGCTGAGACTCTTGGTTCAAACCCAGGCAACCGTCTATGATTAATCTGGGTTCTTAAGTGCAGTCGTTGAAACGAACGTTGCTCCACCTCAAACTGAACCTTCCAAAAAAACTTGTCGATGATCCGACCACAGCTCTGCCTGGATTCTATCTCCAGCGGGCACACCGGACCGCATAAAACCACATCCCGACATTGCATAGTCGACCACTTTGTTCTAGCACCGGTGATACAAAGCTACACAAGAGGCTGTCTCTGGTGTAGGCCAATCAGTTTCAAGGACAGTGCATACATCAAAACATTTGTGAGCATTTTTTACCAAAAGTATGTGTGGTTCATACAGACTTGATGCCTTGTAATAATAGGTGTCTATTTGATATTTAAACATCTTATGACAACTGCATTCATGCCAGAAAGAGGAAAGTCTTTAATATCATTCGACTGCTATCTCAAACCACCCTTTTCTTGAAAAAATCCAAAAAGGCCAATTGTCTTCTATTGGTCGCGAAAGCCTACGTGTTAAACTGTCTTCTACTACCTTTCCTTTGCAGGGTCTCCATGACCCAGCAAATTCTGTCTTCTGCCAAGGCCATTCGACTGGAACTGCTCTCCTGTGTGTGCTAAACGACCGGTGCCACTCTTCACACTATGGTGCGCCCTCACCCGGCGTTCTTTTTGACTTCGCTGCTGCCTTTGACAACCGTTGCCTCACTCCATCCTCCTTGGGAGTCTCCACAGCTTTGCAGGTGCGTCCGGCAACACTTCTCGTTCTGCTCTTACCTCTACAACCGCTCCTTCCGCTGTTTCCACACAAGGACTGACTTACTCTCAGAAACCCTTTGAGCTACGGTGTCCCACAAGGCGCCACCCTTGGCCACCTGCTCATCTCGGCATATCTCCTCCCCGGCTGAGCAAAATCGTCTCTAGTGTCCTGATGACTCGCTGCTCTAAAGTTGCCGTTGACTCCGTGAACCCAACTGCAGTGCCCACTCTCCACCATGCCCTGACCTGGTATTTTCTTGGACTGGTTCTGATTTCTTCCAGCGAAATGTTGCAAAAAAACAGAAGTACTAGTCACTGGTGAGGAGAAAAAGACAGTCTCCTCTCAGTATAGACTCCGGTTTGAGCATGCACCTCCTAAATTCTGACATTGCACTGGCAAAGAGAATGCAAACCGTTGGAGTTTTCATCAATCCCTAGCTCTTGATTTCTCCGACAAATCTCAACTGCAGGACCTCGTACCTCCATCAACGTGACATCTACCATTTCATTACTCCAGCCACCGGCTGAGACCCTCATTCGTGCCTTCATCGCATATCAACTAGACAACTGCAACTCACTCCTCTACAGCCTCCGCAATTCTCTCATCCTTGAACTCTAAATGGTCCAAAGCACCACGCCCAGAAGAGTAGGGCAGTGCTCTACTACAATCTTACTTCAACAATATCCTCTATGGATACACCTGTATTTAGATCTCCACTCTACTCCCCTCCACACACTCTCCTACCTCTCATCTCACTCCACTCCCCTCCACGCACTCTCCACTCCAGCAACCAAGGATTTCTGCCACAGCCCCCCAGTCGACCTTCGCTCAGTGTGAGGTCAATCTCTCTCCTCTGCTGCCCTCGTAGCCTGACCCCCCCCGCCA